GGCAGGCCGGTGGGGAAGGGCGTCGGCGAGGACGCGTCGGGGGCGGGCGCAGGGTCCTCGGGCGCGGCGTCCCGCGAAGCCAGGGCGGCGACGATGCTCGAGGGGAGGGGGGGTCCGTCGGTGGAGGGGTCGACGACGAGGGTGGCGAGGTGAGGCGGTCGACGGCGACGAGCGTGGGAGAAGGGCGCCGTGAGGCGGCACCGGGCGACGATCGGGGGATCGGCCCCGATCCGATCTGGATCGGGGGAGAGGGAGAGACGAGGGAGTGAGGGGGGAGGAGGGTTGGTTCGGTTAGGGTTTCGGGGTGGAGTGAGGATATGGGGAGTGGCCGGCGGGGCCGGTGGTCGACTGGGCCGGCCTGCTGGGCCGAAGCCCAGTGGGGGGGCCCTTCTCTCTTTCCTTTTTTTTGCTTTGCCTTTTCTTTTTACTTTTCTTTTCTGTTTTATGTGTAGTTTTCTTTTATTTTAGTTTTACAAAATACATCAATGGTTCCTAAATTGGTATTGCTTATACATACTACTGCCACATTAATTTGGGTAACTAAATAAAATAGTTTAATATTTTATTTATTGTACAAGGAATTCAACTAATTGTTTTTGCTACTATTCAAAACATTTTAGAGTATTTATGCCTTTTATAAAAGTGTGGTTCCTCCACCATAATTACTTATGAATTATTTGGAACCACCCGAACATTTTAGTTTTAATATCAGAAAACCTTTAATGTTTGACTTGATTTTGAATTCGAATTTGAATCGGTTTCGAACTAACGCGAGATTTGTCACAGTAATCTAGGTGACGCGGCATCACTAGTAGAGGGTTACTGTAGCTTAATTATCCGGGCGTCACAGAAATTGAGTAAGACTCAAAGCCCGACCACGGCAGAAGATAGAAAGAGAATGAAAGTCATTCCCTATGCCTCAGCCATAGGTTCTATAAATATGCCATGATGTGTACCAGATCTATTGTATACCCTACACTGTGTTAAGCAAGGGAGTACAATAGTGATCTAAGAGTAGATTACTGGACAGCGGTCAAAATTATCCTTAGTGGAATAAGGAAATATTTCTCAATTATGGAGGTGACAAAAGGTTCGTCGTAAAAAGTTACGTCGATGCAAGTTTTGACACAGATCTGGATGACTCTAAGTCTCGATCTAGATACATATTGAAAGTGGGAGCAATTAGCTAGAGTAGCTCCGTGCAGAGCATTGTAGACATAGAATTCGTAAAATACTTACGGATCTGTATGTGGCAGACCCGTTGACTAATATTCTCTCACAAGCAAAACATTATCACACCTTAGTACTCTTTGGGTGTTAATCACATAAACGATGTGAACTAGATTATTGACTCTAGTAAACCCTTTGGGTATAGGTCACATGACGATGTGAACTATGGGTGTTAATCACATGGTGATGTGAACTATTAGTGTTGAATCACATGGCGATGTGAACTAGATTATTGACTCTAGTGCAAGTGGGAGACTGAAGGAAATATGCCCTAGAGGCAATAATAAAGTTATTATTTATTTCCTTATATCATGATAAATGTTTATTATTCATGTTAGAATTGTATTAACCGGAAACATAATACATGTGTGAATACATAGACAAACAGAGTGTCACTAGTATGCCTCTACTTGACTAGCTCGTTAATCGAAGATGGTTATGTTTCCTAACCATGAACAAAAGAGTTGTTATTTGATTAACGGGATCACATCATTAGAAGAATGATGTGATTGACATGACCCATTCCATTAGCTTAGCACCCGATCGTTTAGTATGTTGCTATTGCTTTCTTCATGACTTATACATGTTCCTATGACTATGAGATTATGCAACTCCCGTTTGCCGGAGGAACACTTTGTGTGCTACCAAACGTCACAACGTAAATGGGTGATTATAAAGGTGCTCTACAGGTGTCTCCAAAGGTACATGTTGGGTTGGCGTATTTCGAGATTAGGATTTGTCACTCCGATTGTCGGAGAGGTATCTCTGGGCCCTCTCGGTAATGCACATCACATAAGCCTTGCAAGCATTGCAACTAATGAGTTAGTTGCGAGATGATGTATTACGGAACGAGTAAAGAGACTTGCTGGTAACGAGATTGAACTAGGTATTGAGATACCGACGATCGAATCTTGGGCAAGTAACATACCGATGACAAAGGGAACAACGTATGTTGTTATGCGGTTTGACCGATAAAGATCTTCGTAGAATATGTAGGAGCCAATATGAGCATCCAGGTTCCGCTATTGGTTATTGACCGGAGACGTGTCTCGGTCATGTCTACATTGTTCTCGAACCCGTAGGGTCCGCACGCTTAAGGTTTCGATGACAGTTATATTATGAGTTTATGAGTTTTGATGTACCGAAGTTAGTTCGGAGTCCCGGATGTGATCACGGACATGACGAAGAGTCTCGAAATGGTCGAGACATAAAGATTGATATATTGGACGGCTATATTCGGACACCGGAAGTGTTCCAGGTGATTTCGGAGAAAACCGGAGAGCCGGAGGGTTACCGGAACCCTACCGGGAGAAGTAATGGGCCTTATGGGCCTTAGTGGAGAGAGAGAGGGGCAGCCAGGGTGGGCCGCGCACCTCCTCCCCCCTGGTCCGAATTGGACTAGGAGAGGGGGGGGGGGTGGCGGCCCCCTTTCCCTCTCCCTCCCCACTTCCTTCCCCCTCCTAGTAGGAGTCCTACTCCTACTAGGAGGAGGACTCCTCCTGGCGCGCCTATAGGGGCCGTCCGGCCTCCTCCCCTTGCTCCTTTATATACGGGGGCAGGGGGCACCCCTAGACACATAAGTTGATCCACGTGATCATATTTTTAGTGGTGTGTGGTGCCCCCTTCCATCATAGTCCTCGATAATATTGTAGCGGTGCTTAGGCGAAGCCCTGCGACGGTAGAACATCAAGATCGTCACCACGCCGTCGTGCTGACGGAACTCTTCCCCGACACTTTGCTGGATCGGAGTCCGGGGATCGTCATCGAGCTGAACGTGTGCTAGAACTCGGAGGTGCCGTAGTTTCGGTGCTTGATCGGTCGGGCCGTGGAGACGTACGACTACATCAACCAAACGCTTCCGTTGTCGGTCTACAAGGGTACGTAGATCACACTCTCCCCTCTCGTTGCTATGCATCACCATGATCTTGCGTGTGCGTAGAATATTTTTTGAAATTACTACGTTCCCCAACAAACCTTTGCTTGATGCCTTGGCCTGTGCTTGCCCCCTTTGCACCAAAGGGGAAACAAGGACATTGCGCAGGCCGGCGCCCGCCTGGCGTCCGCCTGGTCTCGATCGTCATGGCTTGCGTCACGGGTTCCTCGCGAGGTACCCTTGCCTTGATCTCTCTGCCTCCTAGCGAGCCTGCCTGATGAGGCTGTCTCTGAGGAAGCTTCCTGTCATCTGTCCCACGAGGCTTGGCCCCTCGCGAGGGTCTTGAGCTTGAGCTGATGAAGACGGCCACGCTGGGCCCCCGCTTGAGCCACGCCGCAGGCCGCAGGCAGGCAAGTCTGGGAACCCCCGTTTCCAGAACGCCGACAGCCACGCAGCCCGCTCAAGACCGATCATTGGGATTGACGTGAGTGCCTCACCTGATATATTTCCCTCTTGCAGGTACCTCACACGTCTACGAGCCATTCACGGGGTTGGATGGCTTCAGAGGTTTCTCAAGAGTTGTCGCATATGTATAGATTATAGATCTTGGTAGACACGTATCACGTTTGTGTAGTGGTGTGGGTGCGTGCACGTGGTGTTGTGTGTTGTGCGCATGGTCTATGGCCTATATCGATGCTAAAAAACGATGGTGTCACCAATGATCTTTCAACTTAACAACAGGTCTAAGTTAGCCATTTTAATTGTATTATCTTGTCATTAATCATCAAAATCTGATTCCCACAAAAAAAATCGCCAACGATCTTTCCCACGCAAAATAAAATTTAAAAATAAAGCTCTCAATTTTTCTAGAAAAAAATAATAATACTCCATTCTCCATCCTCCGTTCGCCTCATATAAGATTATCTCCTGACTAAACAAGAGCGCCATTCCAACCTCCTGTTTAGCGTAAGCCATGAGCTCGCAGCAGTCACCATCGCCGGCGGAGGCGAAGTCACCGCGACCGCCCGCGCCCACCACTACCGTAACCGCTCTCGACGATGATCTCCTCCGCGAGATCTTCCTCCGCCTCCACTCCCTACCGACCCTTGTCCGTGCCGCCCTCAGCTGCCGCACCTTTTTCCACGCCGTCCGGTCGTCGCCCGCCTTCCGCCGGAGCTTCCGGGAGGTCCACCCACCACCTCTCCTCGGCCTCTTCTTCGACCCCGACGGCCCCTCCATCCCCGCCTTCGCACCCCTCCGCCGCCGCTCCGACCCTGACCTCGCAGCCGTCGTCCGCGGCGCCGATTTCTTCCTCACCCGCCTCCCCGACGACGACGACGACGACGCCGCCTTACCGGAGTGGGTCATATACGACTGCCGCGACGGCTACATCCTCCTCGAACACGGAAGCCTGGAGCAGTACGCCGTCTACAACCCCCTCACACGGGCCCTGGATCTCATCCCCCAGCCGCCCGACGAGATCTTCGACGACCAGCACGGCGACGCCTCCTGTCTTGGGTGCTACATCCTCTCCTCCCAAGAGGGCGGCGAACCACTGCGCCTGGTCTACACCTGTCACGACGAGTCGCGGGCGCGTGCCGCCGTCTTCTCATCAGAAAGCAGGGAGTGGCAGATCCTCCCGTGGTCGGAGCCTGTGAGGCCACTGCCTGAGGACGAACACTGGCTTAAGGTTGGCACGATGGCGAATGGCTTCGTCTACTGGACACACAAAAATCAAGCCTACATCCTTGTGCTGAACACTGTGACACTGCAATTCTCCCAGATGGATGTGCCGCCAGATTTGGTGGATCAAGATTTAATGTTTAAGGTTGGGGAGACCAAGGATGGAAGGCCTTGCATTGTCTGCCCGATTGATTTTGAGCTTCATGCTTGGGTATGGCGAGCCGGTCAGGATGGAATTGAGACATGGATATTCGACAAGAAGTTTTCCTTGGAGACGATTGTCGAGGTCACTGAGGGTACATTTGAGCAACATTGTGAACTGAAGGTTTTGGCCATCATTGGTGGATTTGTGTACTTCTGTACCATGGATATGTTGCATGATGCCATTTATCCTTGTTGGTTCCTGTCTCTATGCATGGAGACGGGGGAGCTGGGCACGCTCTTTCGGAGGAGATTTGACGGCCATGTTTACCCCTACATCATGGCATGGCCTCCTTCTTTGATAGACAACAAGGTGAACCCTCAATTCGAAGGTGCTTGACAACATGTGGACAAGGTATCCTGACATTTCCTTCGTTTGGCCACTAGATGGTATTGTAGTAATGATATGTTCAAGGTGATAGACAACAAGGTGAACCCATCACTTTACACATACGCCATTCAGCACAAGTCTATGGCTTTATATGACTGGCTGCATTTCTGAACTGGTTCACATATGGCATTCCGTCTCCTTTGAGACGGAGATTCCACCTTTTAATCGGTATTGTTGTCATTTTGATCCTATACTTATGTTGTGTTGTCCGTTGGACAGAATTTGGACTGTTCATATGTAAACGCTTGTAAGAGGTTCCACTTGGTCTTTTTATTTTCACCTAATCACTCTGTTGTTGTGTTCCATTTCATTCACCTTAATTATTTGAAATGAGATACCTATCCATCTACTTGAAAATAATATTCACTTCCAATTTGGGACTCTTCCCATGAAATAGTTTACACTTTGAAATCCTGTTGATAAGATTAAAATAAGAAACTCGGTTTGGAAACCCACTAAGAATAGGGCAGAAAATAGGTTAGCTGGAGGCAAAGGATGATCTTGACAATTGGTGGTTGACTCGCTCTGGCTAAATCATGCCTTAGCAACATGCCTTTTTACATCTAGGGATCAGAAAGGGAACTGATTTTTTTTTCAGAGCATAGTTCCTATGGCACGAAGACCTACATATTAGGAAATATTGCCTCTGTAAACAAATATAAGACCGATTAGTGATCTAAACGGTCTTATATTTGTTTACAGAGGGAGTATCATTTAGTAGGCTGGCCTATACTTGTGGACCCAGAGAACAAGGTATCTTAGGGGTTTTGGATCTTCAAACAATGAATAAGGTCTTACTAGCAAAATGGCTCCGTAAACTTAAGACTGAGGATCACCTCTGGCAGAAACTTCTATAAGAGAAATATGGCAAAACCATTACACTACTGGTATTAATAAACACATAAATGGAGATTCTCAATTTTGGTCAGGTTTCCCTGACATGAAAAATTCATTCTATAAGCATCACACAAGAATTGTCAGGGATCGAACCAATACCATATTCTGGAAAGAACCACTAACCTCCTTGTCTGTCCTTTCATACACTACATGATATCTGTCTTAGTCTTGGCATTTCTGTTTTTGAAGTGATAAATGAAGGGTGGGATGCCATGTTTCTAAGTAAGGCATATGATCATAGCTAAAGCAAAACATGACATATGATCATATCCCCCCTTTTAAGAATAGGATGGAAGGTTGAGATGCATTGTCAAATTTGTGTCAGGATGAGACCATTGATCACTTATGTCTGTCCTGTTCACTTGCAAGGTTTGCCTGCAATATAATCTGATGTGTTTTTAGTCTATTTTGTTTGCAAATTTTTTTAGAAGGAAGATTTCTAGTAAATGAATTGTAAAATCTAGGTTTTTTTGTCTGTCTAATTTGTCCGATATTGTCAGTAGCGGACTGTAAGCTATCATCTGGATATTGGATATATATAAATAGGCACATTATTTTCCAAACAAAGAGCATGCATGCCATATTCCTGACTAAGAACTAGCAGACATGCACCTCAAGGGAATCCAGTCAAGAAAATGTGGCTAAATGCATGCAGCATTCGTATCTGCAGACTGGTACTATGAACTGTATTCGTTATCCACTTGCATACATGCATGTTGAATTCCAACTTATCTTCCTCACTTCCAGCTGTTTGCCAGGAGCTCCACTCCAAACAAACATGGCCATAGCGTCTCGTATGTCTATGTAAACCCATAAACCAAGCCATAGATACTGTGTTCTTATACACAATGACAGTTTAATAAAAGAAGAAAAATGAGATCTTCACCATCATCTATTTACACAATTTGCATCTCATCCCCCTTAGTTTTGGCCTGACTTCCTCCGCAATCTTGACAATTGCGAAGAACAGGACCCTGTACACTACCACCATCCCACAAAGGATGGCAATGTTGACCCACTTGGAGTACCCCATCTCCACCTGCAGCTTCTCTTGCAGCACCCGAAGGCCACTGATGGTGACATTCTTCTCGACCAGCTGGTCGCTTGGGAACGTCTGCCCTATGAACTCGTTCTTGTAGAACCCCTGCACCGCGTACTTGTGGAAGGAGATGTAGTAGCAAGGGTACTTCCACACTGGCTTTGGGAGTTCGTTAGGGAGGCGGAAGAAACCGCCATTGAGCATCATCACCCCTTGCACCCCGGCCCCAACAATGATCCCCATCAGGAAGTCTGGGACGATGACGGCGATGATCATCATCATGCTCTCCACCAGCATTGTGCACATGCACAGGTTGACAACGAAGTAGGCGAAGCGGTCAGGCCCTTTTGTTAGCCCAGTAAGGTAGTACAGCATCGCGCCGGGGATCACGGCGATGACGGCCAGGTATGGAGTGGCCGACAGCGTGTTTGAGATCACAAACTCTGCCACGCCGTAATGGCCGCTCAGCCTCTCCCTTCTGAATACCTAGAAATAAAGTGTGCAGCCAGACTTTTTATTTATTTCAGACTTCCAGTATACAGTGAATGTATGGGCATATAATTGCTCTTATGAAAATGTTAGTCTGATGGCAGAGAGAAAGCAACCTTTACGTCCTCTACAAAAGAGGGGAATCCTCCAATAGCCATGAAAGTAAGAAGGGCTGTCGTATACATTATGACTTCACATCGAGACTGAAAAATCAGGGGAACAAATCAGTTTTGTTGATGTATAAAATATTTATGTTGCCTAATGAATGATGTCTTGTAGAATTCACCTGGATGGAACTGTAGCTGTGGCCAAGTTGGTAGAATATGGTGCCAAGACAAATGCCAATGCCCAGGTAAACACCCAAACGCATCCAGTAGTATCCTATGTCCCTGTGCATATTCACAAATGACCTTCTGGTGAGCACAAAGAGCTTCGTTGAGAAGCCGGCTTGCTCCCTCTTCCTAAATGGAGCTCCACCCTGGAACATAGCTCAAATATTAGAACAAGAATTTGATCTTGATTGTGTAAACTTCGCTAGGCCAGCACCATATACTCCGCGGCGAGAAGTTTATTACCGGTTCATTCAAATGAAAAATGACATGTTGTACAGACGCTGAATTAGCATGTTGCTCCTCCAGTTCATAAAAGGAGATTCTTTAGGTATACCTTCAGCTGAAGGTTGAAAACTTTGACCGCCAGTATCTTTTGAATATTCAGACCCGAAATCATATGCGGTCCGTTCCTAAATATAAGTCTTTTTAGAGATTCCACAGTGGAATCTCTAAAAAGACTTGTATCAGTGGAATCTCTAAAAAGACTTGTATTGAGGAACGGAGGGAGTATAATTTTACTGTCTATTATATATACATACTATACTACAGCAGAAACAAATGGTCAAAGTTACATTCTGAAAGCCGTGTAAATGTCTAACCGCCACTTTTTCATGAACTTGAAGGAGCATTTCACTGACTGAATTTGTCCTAATAATTATTTTGCTGTTGCTGTATACAGATTAGTCCACATTTGGGTGGTCCCTTCTTTGTAACCACACATTTTGGGACTGCCAAACAGTACAATCTTTAATCTCAGAGAATAAATAAATGAGCTTGTAAGCAACTTACTATCCCTTTCATCTCAGCTATCCGGTCCATTGTTTTCTCTGAATAAGCGGGGGACTGGTAAGCATCTGTCAGGATCTCTATTGCTTCAGCCGCAGTTTTTCTCCTAGCTTTGGAACTCTCGACAATTTCCTGCATGCATATGGGATCACAGAGCTAAAGTAAACATACTGTACCTTTTGTTCCGAGTGTCATACAGAGAAATGACGAGGAAAAACAGGTACTACCTCGTCAAAATCTTTGTTGATTGTCCTCAGGAAGTGGTCAGAAGGGTTCCTCAGGTGTGGGCATGGGAAGCCACTTTCAGTGAAGAACTAGCACAGGTAATGAACACCAAACTCAACATTTTCATGGAGAAAAGAGGGATTTGTCATTTGCAATGTAGTGTAATCACCTGATTGGCGTCGGAGGCGGGTCCGAAGAAGACGGTCCGACCGTAGGCGAGGAGGCAGAGGCGGTGGAAGAGGTCGAAGACGTCGCCGCTGGGCTGGTGCACGGCGGCGACGACAGTCATGCCCTCCCTTGCGGCGACCCTGGCGATGTGGCTCATGACGTGGTAGGAGGCGGCGCTGTCGAGCCCGCTGGTGGGCTCGTCGAGGAAGAGCAGCCGGGGTCGGGTGAGCATCTCGATGCAGATGGTGACCCGCTTCCGCTGCCCGCCGCTGATGCCCTTGGTCATCCGCCCGCCGATGCGCGTGTCCATGGCGTCGCCCAGCCCCATCTCCCGGATCACGGCGTCCGCGTGCGCCCGCTTCTCCACCGCCGGCATGCTCCCCGGCAGCTGCAGCTGCGCCGAGTAGTAGACGGCCTCCCGCACCGACATCGTCGACATCAGCACGTTGTCTTGGGTCACGTAGGCCTTCAAGTTCAGTTCACAGCATCCAGTCGTTAACTTGGATTACACATTGATCATATCGTAGCTACCAGCCTACCACCACTCAACAAATTACTAATACTGAGAACAAGCATTCAAATCATGTACTCCCTCCGTAAAGAAATATAAGAGTGTTTAGATTATATTTCTTTACAGAGGGAGTAGAACACAAGATAGAAAGCACATGTGTTTGCTGACAGGGCAAAATGCTTAATATTTCTGGTGGGGTAGATTGACCTTGGTACAAGCATGTCTTAGTAGCATGCCACTGTACATGATTAATATTACTGGCAGGGTAGATTGACCTTGGTACAATCATGTCTTAGTAACAAGCCCCTGTACATGCTGCCCTTCTACCCCATTCCTGTGGGTGTTAGGAAGAGATCTGGCTTCTTTAGAGCTAGAACGGTACTACCTCCATCCGGGTCTACAAGTCCCCTTTGTGTTTTGTGCCAAAAATTGACCATTAATTTAACTAGCAAAATTAAGTTAAATATTATAAAATGTATATTACTAGATTCGTATTTGAAAG